ATATTTTTGCTAACTGTCATAGAGGAGTAAAAAAAATATATTTACATTTAAGAAGCTGCAATTAAAAGAAAAAAATCACTCAAACCGATTAATCGATAATCAAAACAGATGGCAAGTAATTTTATAGTTGACAACTAACTGATTAATCGTTGCAGCTCTAGTAATTGGAGGTAGTGGTTTATGGTAATGAAGCAGCTCGTCACCCAGTTCAACAGTGGTTTGTGTTTTTGTACGCACATATAATACTTGTTAGCAGGATTAGTTGTTTGATTTTAGTCTTTCTGTGGGAGATTTACAGTATGACTCTACTCTACTGCTTATGCCTTTAACTGTCGGTTACAGGAGGATAAACATTTGGTCGTAAACATTTGGTCGCTTCATGCCCAGCCATCACACGTCTCACTGTAAGGCTGTGTGTTATTATTTCTCAAGATGTTTTAAGATGTTCTAAAATATCTAGGTAATGTAATCTCCATTGGTGTTTGTGGTACATGATAAACAGTCATTGAATTCTCTCCGTACACGAGCAGGCCTTCTCATTTTCCCTTCTTCAGTCCCAGCTGCTTCTCAGCAACATCGCGTAGTTTGTGTTTCTGGATCTGAGAAGAGAAAGAAAATCAGAAAGTTGTTTCTCGGGTTTGTAACTTGTACTGAATACAACGGCAACTAGACATAACAATTTAGCAATCAAGACTTTTGAGAATGAACAGCAAATCGTGTCATCAGGCATGTGAGCGATGTGGCGATGAACACTGAGATTGGTAGCTATCTCTTTAACCCCTTGTATTAGGTAATTGCGGGATGAATGAGCAGCACTACTTCATGGCAATATTTTTTTTAGATTTACAGAATTTGTGCATGTGATAAAATACTTTGACTAGATTAGTCAAAATCTACCGATCATTATCGAATATTGACAAGCTGATCTGACTCTGTCCAAAGATAACAAAATCTGCCTACCAGTACCTCTAAAGCTCACCAATAACACATATATTGTTTAAATTGTACAAAAATACACATGATCCCTTGTAAAACAAGAAGTTGTTATTTTTATAATTAATTTTTTGGACAGATTAAGCAATGTGTTTACCCCCAATTCCAGTCTTGCATGCTAAGATAAGTTAATCAGCTGGTAGCTAATATCTTCATTTACAGACATGAAAGTATTGTCAATCTTTTTATCTAAATCTCAGCAAGAAAGCAAAACACACATTTTTTCAAATTGCCAAACTGTTCCTTTACAGGAACTGTACAGGAGCACACATGCATCACATGCATCACATCTGTGACGGCCCCTCTGCAGGCTTCATACTGCTGTTGGTGTACTTTCTGTCTCCAGGGCTGCAGACCTGATTGGCAGGGTAATCAGCATCATGGGACGCACCTGGGCCCAGTGTGCCCCATGCATATAAGCCAGAGCAGCACTCAGTCTTAGGTTGGACCTCCTCATCTCACGGCTTTGTTTGTTTGTTTGTTTGTTTGTTTGTTTGTTTGTTTGTTTGTTAGATAGATAGATAGATAGATATCTTGTCTTTGTTTTTACAGCACAACATCCATGCAGCACATTTTCACTCATCCACTACTGACACTACAGATTCTTCCCACTCATTGGTTTTGCTTATTTTCTTATTAATAAATCACTTTGTTATTTAGTTTATCCGTTTTTGTCCAGTTCGTGAGCCGGGCTGTGACACATCGCACTCCAAAACATAACAGAACTGTTTGGTCAGATGCTTTCCAGAGGTGGGATCCACATCTGGAGATCCCAGCAGCCAACGATGCTGCGTTCAAGCTGCAGTATTATGTTGTCATACAGGTCTACTATAGGATGACCTAGTCTACCTAAGCGTTTAAATGTGACATGTGTTGATGTTTTATACCTGGGACTCCCTGCAAAACACTGTTAATACTGATTAAAATAAAGTAAAATGAACTGAAGGAGTGTTGAGGGGCTGGTTTTATCTGATACGCTTCAGGACGGGGTCCACCGCCCTTCTGGGTTCATCTAAGAGTACTTGGTGTGCGTGCAGACGAGCTAATAGCTCCCTTTCCCTCCTGTCTGGGGGCATTCAGGGCAGGCCTGTTCAAACACAACTCCATGTCTCCAGTCATTTTAAATAGCATCCCTCAAGAGAAACACAAGAACCAGAGGGGAGTGGGTGCTCTTGTGTTGTAATTTATCACAGGCTGCAGATCTTATTAAACACGGTAAAATAAACCTTATTTGTCTGTCATTTATAGGAACATGAGCTCTGCTGAAAACACCAGGATTTGGGAAATTACCTTTCCGGTAACAGTGAGCGGGTAGCTGGTGACAAAAAGTACGTAGCGAGGAATCTTGAAGTGAGCGATCTGAAAGGAGCAGATGAAGAGGGAGACACTGAGCAGAGTCGTTCAAACTGTTTGACAGGAAGATGAAGTTCAAAATAATTCCATGCTCATTATTTTAATGTCAAAAAGAGAATTGTGCCTCACCTGCCCCTTGCAGTAAGCCTTGATTTCTTCTGCAGTGCAGTCCTGCCCGTCTACCAGTTTGATACAGGCGCAGACCTCTTCACCCATACGGACATCCTCGACTCCCACCACCTGACAAACAAAAAGACCTGTTGCTCTGCAGCAAAAAAGTAGCCTCACTGGATTTAATATATTGTTTCTGATGCAACACATACAGTGAAGGAAACAAAGATCCCGCCTAGACACAATTTAAATTAATTAAATTAATTTTTTTTGTTAAAATCTCCTCTATCTTCCTCATTGAAAAATCAACATGCAAATATTGCTAATTTCAAAAGGTGTAACTGCTGGACACAAGATTTCTCCTACTTGACAGAAAGTGTTTGTACCACAGAGTAAGTAAATATTTCAGTTCATGAATGGTTGTGATGTAAAAAAAAACCTTTACATTCACATGTTAAACAGAGGACAGCAGTACACTCAGATGTCAATAATTTCATAACAAACTACACTGTTAAAATGACCTGACTCATGATACAATGCTACAGTGCAAGAAAAAAAAAAGAGTCAAAGACACAAAATCGACGGCTCTGCACGCCAACGTCCAATGCAAGTATTGAATAGACAGATTAACTTTCTGTCACTTGTGTCCATGTGACATTTATCATTAACATTTTCCATTTAAAAAGACAATAATGGTGGGTGGCGGCTCTGAGACTTAAGTCAACTATGAACTCGCTTCATTGCTATGTAATAGAGGCACAAAATGCCACCAAAATAATTTTATAAAAATAAATAAATAATACAAATGTTGTAAAAACATTTAAAAAAGAACAAAAGTTGTGATTCAAAGCAGGTGTGGTATTGATCAAGATCAGCCCCAACTGTTAACATTTACTGTAACACGTGAATTGGAGTGTGAAGATCCTTCTTTTCTCCACAACCATATAAAATAGTTTAACCATAACAATATAAAATGGTTGTGACATGGTCTCTAAGCCCTTGCTATTTGAGCTCACCTGTGCCTCCATGACTTTGGGGTGTGTGTGCAGGAACTGTTCAATCTCAGCCGGGTAAACGTTCTCTCCACCTCTGATGATCATGTCTTTAATCCTGCCCTCGATTCGGCAGTAGCCGTACGCATCAATGCTGCCAATGTCTCTGCGGGAAACAGGAAAAATTACTAATAACTTTGTTTCCTGTTTTCCTGTTATCTAAAATTCCCTCACACAAGCATGGTGTCTGATTTAAACAAAACGTAACACAGAATTCTTTGTTTTTGGGTTGCGTTTCTTTCAAATTAAGTTCAAAGTTCAGAATCACACTATGTGATGCTTCGATAGTAGAGGGAGCTTCAGTAGCAGGCCACTCACCCAGTTTTGTACCAGCCTTCTTTAGTGATGCACTCTTGTGTTTTGGCCGGATCCCCCCAGTACTCCAACATCACACAGTAGCCTCTGATCATGATCTCCCCCATCATCCCCAGAGGGAGCACTTCCCCTGTTGTAGGGTTCACTATTTTAGCCTGTGGAGCAGTCGATTCATATTTTATAATTAGGTTGATTATGGTATGAAAATCATTGTTTTGTAAAACACATAATTCTGTTCAGGGCTGAAAAATAATTAAATGTAATCAGTCAACAATCTTTCTGTGTTTTAGTTGATTCCAAGCAAATGCACCATAGTTAAAACTGTTTTTAGTACTTTGATAATCGCTCAGAGGCCACTTTATTAGGTACATCTTTCTAATATTTATATATATAATTTTTCAACACATCTGCAGTTTTTTTCTGTGGTGCGTGAAAATCTGAAGAGAGCAGCAGTTTCTGAGATACTCAAACCAACAACATCAACAACAGCTGAACCTCTGGATGCAATGAGTTTCTGCTAAATTTTTCTTCTTTTACTTTTTTGATCCCCAAGGGGAAATTCGTTGTTCTCTTTAATCCATAGTAATTAGGAGCAATGGGTAGCCACTGTGCAGCTCCCAGGGAGCAATTAGGGGTTCAGGGCAATGGTCCACAAGCACCACCATGGTGGACTTGAACCCGTGTCCCTCCGGTTTCCAATCCAAGTTCCCACAAACTGATGTAATGCTGCCACATGATGGGCTGGTTAGGTATTTGCATTAACCCCAGAATCAGAATAACGGTCAAAATAAACAAAGTAAGGGAGAAGAAAACAAGTGCTGTAAAAGTCAAGAGTCATAAATGTGAAATAGGAAAGTATGGTTAAAAAATGTAAAATATATACCGTAAAATGAGGAGCATTTAAAATGAAAAGGATGGTTTACTCAAGCAGCCATATTTCCCACTCCAGCCATTGAGGTTTGTCTAAAATATACTGTACTAATGATGGTGATGTTAAACCTTATCTTTGCACGATGTCTTACTGAAAAGCATGTTGAAGTACCTCTAAGTGGTCCATGATGAAGCCAACGGTCTCCGACTTCCTCTCCAGGTTGTCTGTCGGAGACGCACAGAACGTCACGGGGCTGTTCTCTGTGGTGCCGTATCCAATCTGTCAAACACACAAACAGCATGTTATGAGCAGAGAGAGGGATGTAGGATTACATAGGTTACAGAGATATATAACATTTTCAAGCGACAGTGTCTTCTTTCCGCCACTGTTTACGCAGATATTGGAATCTCTTACATCAGTGCCAGTTTTGTTTTAGCATTGTCTGAAATAAACTGGCTGTGGATTCGAAGGCGTACGTTAAGATGATCTGTGAGCCAGTGTTGGGATGTAACTTAGATGTAACTAAGTACATTTACTCAAGAACTGTATTTAGCTACAATTTTGAGTTTTTTGAGGACAATTTTACTTGAGTGTTTCCATTTTAGGCTACTTTATACTTTTGCTGCACTACTACGTTTTGGACGCAAATTTCACATTTTTAGTCCACTACATTTATCTGGTAATTTGAGTTAAATTGTAGATTCTGATTATTAATACAAAATATATCAAATTATGATGTATTACTATAGGCTAAGCTGCCCAGCAGTATATAAATAACTACAATCCAGTAATAATCCAACAAATATTAAATCAAAATGAATGTGTTGGCTTCCATGTTGTTCATTAATTAATAATAATCATTAATAAATTATCAATGCCAAGAAAGACTAAGACCCAACTCTTTTTTTGTTGCTAAAAAACTTTCCTAGAAAGAGGTGCTCCACAAAAAAACTAAAATATATTATAAATATAATATATATATATATAAATTTTAAATTGCCATTACCAAGATGACTTCTGGAAATGTTTGTTTTCTGACTAACAGTACGAAACTCAAATACATTTAATTTACAGTGATATAAAACCAAAAAAAAGCAGAAAATCCTCATAGTTTGCGAAGAGGCTGGAACCTCCAAATATTTGCCATTCTTGCTTAAAAATTCCTCAAACAATTAATCGATTATCAAAATAGTTGCCGATTAGATCTCTGGCCATCGACTAATCATTTTAGCTCTAAACTGAGTAAATTTACTCAACTATTGTACTTAAATACGCCTGTTTTGGGAGACTTTCTACTTGTCCACGACATTTCAGAGCCTTTTCCTTTATTATATTTATCTGATAGCTGGAGTTACTTTGCTGATTCAGATTTAACAATCAGCGAGATGCAAGGTCATTCAAATAACTGATGAAAATTCCTGAGGAGGAATTCCTGCAGGGCATTTTAGAGGAGGACGCGGTGAGAAATTTACCTGGAAAATCAGGGAGGAGAAGATATTCCCAATAAAATGTTAGATTTGTTAAGTAAACTCTAGATTCCATTTAGCCTGGGTGGGTCCATCCATCTTATAAATGCAGCCACCTAAAGCCAAACCATCCACTGACCTGAGCCAAAGTCCTGCTTTACTTAGTCTTCCTTTGTTATTTAAAGCACGTTGTAACGAACACCACAAACAAAGTTTTGTTCTCACAGTGACAGAGTTTCAAAAAGCCACTCCATCTCCTGCAGTAGAAACCCGACAGCCACAGTCACCTTGACAACTCACAGGTTCGACTGAGAGAGACCATTACATAATACCGCACTCCATTTCAAATGGGAGAAGGCATCTAAAACTTTCCTTTGTAAAGTATCTTTTGCAATTGTTATGACTTGAAACAGCATCTCGCTTCTTGCCAACCATCTGGAGACTATTATAGGTTATAAAACAGCTGCACAGGAGTGGCTCCTTTTCCTGCCACCGCAGACGGAAAAACAATAGTGATGTCTGGGAACGTGCACGGATTGAACCGGACACAGTCACAAAAAAACAACTAAACCCAGTACGGAGCATGTGTCCTCTTTCTTATTATTTGTCTGGACACGTGCTTCCAGCAGCCTTTTGTTTATGTTCAGGGTCCTGCCAAAAACGCAGCCAGTAGCAAAGAGACAGAGTGGTCCCGCTTTGTCATCCTGCTCATTTAGGGTTAAATTCTCACAGACACTTGACTTCCTCTTGCAAACCTCTCGCCCTCAACACCCTGGCAAGCCCTCTTCATTTTTTTCCTTAAGTAAATGTTATAAATAGTGGTGTGTGTGTGTGTGTACTGTTGACTGGCCATCCTCCTCTCAAAGTGGATGTCTCGCTGCACTGCCCACCTTCAGTCACTCACCTTTTCACTCCCTCTCTCTACGTCTGTTTTTCTCTCAACACACACACAAACACAACTTCGGTTCAACCTTCTGTCTCTCGAGTTCGTTTCGGCTTCTCTGTAAAGCTTTTTACAGGATTTTTCTGCTTGTTCTTGTTCTCCTAAAAGACTGGAGGCACTCTAAGTCAGCGGGCAAACTGAAATTAGGGGCTTTTCAGCATGCGTTGTGTGAGCTGGTTGCTGCTGGGGACCTGCCTCCTGGTCCTGGGCCCCGCGGTGCAGGGAGCCCCGGGCCAGTGCCCCAGCCTGTGCCACTGCCACGGTGACCTTCAGCACGTCATCTGCGACAACGTCGGGCTGAAGAAGATCCCTCGGGTGTCTGAGGTCACCCGTTTGTTGAACCTGCAGAGGAACAACCTGGGCAGCATACCCACAGGAGCCTTCAGTGAAAGCAAGGGACTCATCTCGCTGCACATGCAGCACTGCCAGATCCGAGAGATCGGATCCCACGCCTTCAAGGGGCTGAAGAAGCTCATCTACCTCTACCTGTCCGACAACGAGATCAACAGCATCAAGCCCGGCGCCTTCGAGGACCTGACCGAGCTCACCTACCTCTACCTAGATGGAAACCAGATCAGCGACCTGGCAAAGGGCATCTTCTCCCCCATGATCAACCTCTTTATTCTGCAGCTTAATGACAACAAGCTCCGCGAGCTGCGGCAGGGGACATTTACAGGTGCCAAAGACTTGCGCTGGCTGCACATGAGTGGGAACGAGCTGACGACCCTGCAGCCGGGCTCTCTGGATGATGTGGAGAACCTCGCAATACTTCACCTGGACAGCAACAAGATGTCCACCTATCCCAGTGCGGCAATGAGCAAACTGCGTGTGGTGGAGGAACTCACGCTGGGGAAGAACCCCATGAGGACCATCCCAGACAACGCCTTCCAGAGCTTTGGGCGCTACATGGAGCATCTATCCCTGGACAACATGGGTCTGGAGAAGGTCAGTCCACTTTTACTTGGTATTTACTAGATCATGATTGCTATATCTAATGCCTAACACGTAGACAATCAAAGCACTAAGAGCTAAAAGTTTAGGGACTGCTGGTTTAAACTCCATAAAGGAAACCATAACTGCAAGGCAAGATAGATCGAGTGCTCCTCATCACATCTAAAAATAATCTAAATGTATTCAACTTTTTTTTTTAAGGTAGAGTCACCCAGGGGACATGAGCAGCAGAGAGAGAGAGAGCTCATGAGTTTTCAAGAAAGATCGGCCAAAATAATAAATTACAACTGGGTTTAATCCTCAGCATTCAATAAAGTTGTGCAATCAAAGTCAGAACAACAAGCATATCTCCTAAAACGGTCTCTATGTTCTCTACTCTGTGTCTGTCTTAGTATTTGTTTATTTGTTTTGGTCTGGCAAACCCATCCCGACTATATTTCATCAGCATATTTACTGATGTTTGGTCTTGCCAGTGGTCGACACCCGCTTGTCAGTATATGTCTTGACACATGAGTTAATGGATGCGCAGTAGTTATATTTATATATATATCATACATTAAGTTAACCTACATTACATAACCAACCACCATTTATGTAAACTGGATGATTAAATCTTCGTTACAGCATGCAGTGGTTGGTTTATGTGTTCCTGCTTCCTGTTGTGACTAGTGCACGTGTATCTCTGTCTTTAGATCTGATTTTGTTGTGAAAATAAAATACTTATTACACAAAGCTAAACCATCACTCTTGAAGTTCCCTTTGAGAGAAAGGTATTTTTAAAAGGGTCTGTTTACCCAAATTACAAAAACATGTTGGTATATGAGATATCCGTCTTCTAGATTTCTGCCTCAACCTCAATACAACGGAGGTTACAGCTGAAAAGATAAGCCGATTAATCGATAAGTAAACTCATAAGCAACTATTTCGATAATCGAATAATCATTTTATTAACTTTTCAGGCAGGGTTCAGCTTCTCACATGCGAGGATTTGCTGCTCTTCTCTGTTTGAGTGTAAATGTATTTTTATCCCAAAACAAGACATTTGAACATTTTTCACAATTTACAAACATTTTATAGACAAATCGGATAATCAGTTGACAAAATCTAAATTATACAGCCTTACCAAAATTTGTTTTTCTGTAAATTGGGAGAACCAAACCTTTCATCATCATCATTTTACTTCTGTAAGTCACTAAACTGATGCCTTTCTAGATACCCAGGCTCCATTTTACATGCCTGAGAAGCCCATGAACACTAAAGTCTAACTTTTACCCTCATGATGTTAAGATTTCAGACGTGAGTCAGATGTCTTTGCAGCAGTCTGTAAGAAATCCATCTTTTCATCCAGATCTTTCACAGCTTCAGTATGAATGTATACAGTATAAGCTCTATGCTGTACCGCACTATTTTTCAGACATTCCTGAGTGCACATTTGCTTCATACTTGAGGTTAATCTAATATTTGAGTGTACCTGTGCCACAGTATGGAGGCATCCCAGAGGGGGAAACTGTAAAATAACAACCTTCTCACGCTGGGACTGTGTGAGAGCCAGGTGGAAGCAGCAGGAGACTGGGGAGAGTGCAGCACACATGGCCAGGGAGATTAAACCATTTTCCAGCCAAATGCAGGTATTTTTAGAGTGTTTTTGTTTGCTGGACCTTGGCCAAGCATGTCCGAGTCTAATTATGACACAAGTGTTATTTTCAGCAAGGTGTGTTTTCTACTTTCATCGGGAGGGTCTTGTAAACAGGTCAGGAAGGGTTATGAGACTGGTAAACAGAGTCAGGGTGTTCCACAGTGAATGAAGAGGAGTATTTTTAGCTTGCCATCGCCCCAGGTGAATGGACAATTGGGCTCTTTGCGAGCCTTTCTGGCAGAGGAGTGGCCCAAAGAGAGAGACGACAGAGAGAGCGAAAACACCTCGGCCATGCTGGAAGTCTTCCATCTTCCATTGCTTCTAAATGCCCTCAGCTTCTTCGTCGCTCTACAGTGGAAATTTCCAAAACAGCCTCACCTCTTCCAGACTCACATAAATCGACGAGCTATTCTCTCATAACCGCCCTCCTCTTCCTCTTGGTGGAGTCACAACTTGACATGGTGTAGATGGGTTCATCTAGCACCTCTCTGAAGCTTTTAGCACCCTCGCAGACGCGTATGAAGTTGAGGGGGAAAAAAGGAGGCCAGTGAGTATCAGTGTTTACGTAAGTGCTGGTGCAGAAGGAAGGATGAGAGGAGGCTTTCATGCCAGAGAAATACTGGCGAGATTCCCTCGCTGTGCATCTGTCTGTCTGTTTCTGACAGACACAAGGATGAGCGTGGGTGGTGGGTCAGCAGTGGCGTAAGGTAGTAACAATGGGCCCCAGCGCAGGCTTATCGATGGGCCCTTGGGCTACACCGTTATGAAGCACATGTGCACATACACTGCATTCGTGTCTAGAAGGGAATCCTACATTGGCAAATTTGTGTGCCTTGTTTCCTCATTTTGCCACGGTTTAACAACTGATAAGATTAGATACAGTAAATACCGAATTTAAAGCCCCTTGAATCGATTTCTTTCCATATTATCACATTAAATTCAAGGTTCTCTTGTGTGTGCGTCTTTCTCCAACACACACACTGTGCTGCTACGGCTGTGTGGCGTGCGCCTGGACACAGCAGTCTACAGTACCATCATGTGATGGATTTTACAGTCCAACTGTGTCACTTTTGTATTTGCAAAGTACAGAAGTCAAAGAGAAAGTTATAAGGAGCATGGACAGTGCTGTCATTGTCAAAATCCTGAAACGTCACCACAAACCGCTGAATGCAGAAGGTGTGCACGGTGCTGAAATGATGCAGACTTTTTTCAGCCAATTTCAGTACAATAACCTCCCGAATTGCTGCAACCACATTCCTCTTTGACAGAGAAGCAAGACATTATGGTGAATAAGAAAGAAAAGTGGCCTTCTCAAAACACAACACCATGTTCTGATAACAGACCTGCTACAGCGCACACGCAGTTTAATACCCACAAGCACATCCACACAATTAAACAGGTAGGCCTACTCAGTGGCGAGCTGACCCTAAAATGATAACAGCCTTTAAAACAGCGCCACGGCAGCCACAGCAAATCCACTGAAAAAGCATTTGTAAAGTTACTCACCTATTTGAAAGTTGAGCAAAATCTTTGTTCAATGTGTTTACTGTTGATTACAGAAAATCAACACATTTATTCCATGTCCAAAGAAGGTTGAGGTCAAGGGCAACGGGACTTGTAGAAAAACTAGAAGACGTTTCGTCCCTCATCCAAAACACTTCTTCAGCTCAGAACTGAAGAAGTCTCAACCTCAACATTCGTTGGATAACTATGACCTGGGTGACGGAGAACCTTCACAGACATGTTTTCCGTGTAACTGACAAAGACAAGCTCATAACTCGGCGGGCCCGCTCCTGTGTTGGGCCCCCAGTTCAGTGCGGGCCCCAGAGTAGCTGCACTGTGTGCACTGTCTATACCTAGGCCCCTGTGGGTCAGCATGCCGGAGTGTGAACCATGTTTTTATAAACACTGCAGTACAAGACAAAAAACAGTAATATAATAATTTCAGGAAGATTTGCATTGATTGGTTGGTTTTCTCGGGAGTAGGTCCTTATTACAGGGTTTGTTGTTTGATCCCCTGCTCCCCCTGTTGAGGTGTCCTTGGGAAAGAAACAGAACCCCAAATTTCTAGTGCGAGTATGTTTGTGTAAATGCAGCCATTGACCATTAACCAAAACACTTAACGACTCATGCATGGCTCTTCTTTTTACTAGTTCTCTGATGGTGCTTTTACTGGTGTGACGGCAGTCAAGTCACTGCACCTGGACAACAACAAGCTAAAGTACCTTCCCAAAAGCTTGGAGTTTGGCACCATCACCAACCTCACCCTCTCCAACAACCCTTGGAGCTGCACATGTCAGCTAGCTCCACTGCGCAGGTAAGACACTCACCTCAAACAAACACTATACAGCCACGCTTGCAGCTCTGTTAGCCAGTACTTAGGCACTAAATGCTAACATCAACGTTATCATAATAATTAACATGAGCAGGTGTATAATGTTTACCATTTTATGACTTATCTATAATGTTACAATGTTGGATGTTCATGTTAAAAATGGCCAAAGTTTTAAAAAATGAGGTTAAAGCATTTATAAGAAATCCCTGTGAGCAGAAACCTCAGTTCCCTCCTGTTCTGAACGCTCTGAACTGCTTTTTCTACCAACGGCTCTGTTCTACGTAATATGGAGCCAGACAGAGCCGGTGTTCCATATATGGTCATGTGCTCCCACACTAACGGCAGGGCATCGCTTAGTCTGCCCTACGCCCTACGCCCTGGTAACATATGTTTCAGGTCTTGGCCAATCAGAAGACAGTGGGCTTTGAGAGTGAGGGGCTGAAAGAGACAGGAGCATCTACAGCTTGTTTCAGACAGAGGCTGAAATGAAGGCCTACATGAAGAATCAGTATAAGAAAATAACTTTTTTTTTTTATTACTTTTAATCATGCAAAGCTGCCATACAGGAGTCACAGAACTACAATATCGGACTGGAAAAGCAGTATAATAGGGCCCCTTAAGACTGTCAACCCAGTGACAACACAGTTAACGTGAATTACAGATGCACTTCGCTTCACAAACGGCCGTTAGCTCCACCATCTCATCCAAATATGGTCACGTCTGGTGCTGCTGATTACAAAAAAATCAACATGGCGACATAACGATGACTACGTCGATTTCTTATATACAGTCTATGCTACAAATACAGAGTGATGCAGAATATCCTAAAAAGGATCTTCATGTTCACACTAGCAACATTTCTTTTTCTTTGTCTTTGTTTTTCAACAATCTGTTCTGGCTGTTTGGTCTCTCCAAGTGTCAAACTCTCTCTGCTCCTTATCGTTTCGTTTCTACCTGCAGGTGGATGGACTCTAGCCGTACTCGTCTAGACGCAGTGTGTGCTTATCCACCTCAGCAGAAAGGCAAGCAAATCAGAGACAGCATCGCCTTCAACGGCTGCAGAGTCAAGCCGAAGAGAGCCAGAAAGGGCACACGTGTTTGAATACGCAGCTGTACAGGTATCTGACACCAAACAAGCCACTGACATGACGGGAAAATAAAAAGTGTCTTGCTCAGGGACACAATGGTGGATTGAACCCGGGTCTCTCACACCAAAGGCATGTGTCTTATCCATTGCGCCATCACCACCATCTTCAAACCTCAGGGGAGTAGGAGTAGAGGCTTTAAAATGCTACTGTAAATCAGAAACATTTGAAAGAAAGCACTTTTTAGCTGTCATTTAAGAACATTTAGCTGTTGATGATCATCCAAATAAGTAACTGGAGACACACAAAGGTTAAATGAACCCTTTTAAAGTTAAATGTTTTTGACATCCTCACTGACCTTTGCAAATACTTGAGGTGTAGTTTTGTTTCTCATTGTGGCCTCCATTTAAATCCAAAATCACATCCTTCTGGTGATGGTCTGGTGTAAAAGGTTTTCAACTGGAATTATGTATAATGCGATTTTGGATTCAGACGTTACCACGCGAGGTTTAAGTTGTTTTTTTGAGTGGCCGAGAGTTGGCTTTGCATGATTTTGTTTTTCACTTCTCACTTCCTAACCGCAGAGCTCTCCGTCCTCCCCACTGTCCCTGTCTGAACTTTTCCATGTTGGCCCTGGGGTCCAGTGCACAGAGCCCAGGTCATGGGGTCTCTGGTTGGAGGGCAGACTGTTTAATTTGGCTGCTGTTTTTGTGTCTTTTCCACAGGAGACGCTGAGGAGGAGCCTGTCCAGGTGACCGGCTACACATGCAACAAAAGCAATGCTAACTCATTTTACTTCAAGACTGTCCATCTATTCATCTGCTATATGGTGTCACTATAGTGTAAACACATACAAACACATTCATAGATACACTCTCTCTTGTCTGTCTCCCTCATCACCAAAACACACGAAGAGCTTTACAGACCTTTCATTTTCATTTATTTATATCAAACTATGTGAGTGGAAATGGGCAACATTCAGGTAACCACCAAAACAAGGGATGCAATTGATTAATTGAGGGCTACACAAAGCATTAAGGACAGATGTGTTGTCTTTTCCTGGTGCATTCAGTGCCAACGTTTCAATGTCTTGATTAGCATGACAATGATGTAAAGTCAAACCAGATGAGTTTAAAGGAAAAAAACACTTTGGGAAATGTGCTTATTTGCCTTCTTACAGAGTTAGATGAGAAGATTGATCCCTCTCTCGTGTATTCAGCTTAGCTTAGCACAAATACGAGAAACAGGGAAACAGCTAGCCTACCTCTGTCCAACTGCAACAAAACTGCCGAGCAGCACCTCTGAAGCTCATTAATTAGCATGATATATATAGATATCAATATCAAAAATTCTCATCCAGCTCTTGATAAGACAGCAAATAACTACTAATTTTAAGCTTGTTTTTTGGGGCCACTTGGGGGCAGCAGAACAAACTAAGAAGCACAACACTGACCTCTACTTATAAAGTTGAGTTGACTATTTAGACCTCCAGTAGATACAGAGCAACTATATCATTCATTTGGAGTCATGTTTGTGTCTACCTGTTAAAAAGTCTAATATTGTCCCTATTTTTAGCTCTGTTTTGCTCTCAAATGAATCCTGACGGAAATATCTGGCTATTTAGCTGCTAATTGCGCAACTATTTTCACCAGCTTGTCTCTAAATGTAGGTAGTGTACAGTGGGTTTATCAGAGCTTGTTTACTGAAAACAGCTTTAAGTTACTGAAAATAAAGTGTCTTAAATAGATGATGCTCCTTTGTTTTGGTTGTTTACCTGTAAAAATAATTGATCATCAAACCAGATAAAGATCCAAACAAGATTAATAATTCCTCCCAGTTTAGAGGAAGTCATGGTTGTTTATCATATTTGCTCCTTTGTGATTAGTTTTACACCCTAACTGACTGAGAAAACATCCAAGACACTATTTCTCTAAGAAGTTTAAGACAATAAGACGTTGAAGATGTGGGTAAGCTTAATAGGTGGATCAGTGCACACAATTCCCAATCTGGATTTGTTGTTTATTGCCATATTCCCCTGGCAAAGACTGGATTTAGTTCATTTTTGCAAATAATGTACACAAATAAGAATTCAATGAGAATTATGAAAAGATTAATATGTTATACAGGGTTACTGTTTCTTTACTACGTGACAATTATTTGTAACATACTTCAAACCATTTCTTGTCAACTAGGAGGGTTACTGACATGTGTTTTTTGCATATCTTATGTATATTCAGTATCTTTTCATTTTCTGGACTTTTGGAGGTGGTAACAAGTGCTCACATCCAATAAACGTTTTACAAAATGAAAATATGATGTATTTTTGTCTAAATACATCTTCTACTTGTTTTTACAAGACACTTAATATTGGATAATGAGAAGAATCTCCAACATGCCTACTATCTAAATCTACTGGATGTTTTTCTAAGGATTTGTCTCCCCCTAGTGTGTGAAAGCTGAATTGCTTAATTTTTATCATTTTGTAAAGTTATTTGGTGAGATTAATTTGATCCTGACATAGGTTCATAATCTATATAATAACAATTTAAAAACAACAATCTTAAAGTTATTATATAAATATATAATAATATAATATAAATTATATCTGTAAGATCCACTCACTGTTATTCCCTTGACGCCCATTACAGAAATGACCTTCTTCACAAGTTCTGGAGGACAAGGGGAACCAGCCATGATGCCTACAGTACAAAAACACAAATTAATATAACCTGTGAAATGAACAGTACTACAGGAGAAGCAATCAGTTCCTCAGACAAATCTATAATATTAGTAGGAAAAAGGCATTAAGTCATCAGAATGGCCCTTGTTTTATTTGAAAAACTAAATAATATACACAATAGCGAATGTGTATGCTGCTACCATCTTCTCAGTCTTTTTCCTCACCTGCCTCAACGGAGGACAAGTCGTATTTTGCCAAGTCCGGCTGGTTAATCATATCAACATACATGGTGGGGGTGCCGTAGATGAAGGTGCACCTGTGAGAGATAAAGAACAAAATGCATCTTCACTGACAAAATAAACCTGCAAAAATATGTCCAAGATGTGCATAAATCTGGATTATATTTAATGGGCATGTAAGTATTTATTATTTATGAACAGTTTCTTTGAGACAATAAAAGCTTATAAAAAATTAAAATTAAAGCAACACTAGATGGATTTGCAGATTGTTGGCTCCAAACTACATCAGCAGGTGGAAAGTTTAAAAAATAGGAAATGTAATTTAAAAATGTAATGACGCTTCATGTTTTGAATTGTTTGTAATTCCTTTGTTTTAAAACATCATACTTTATTTTGAGATAAATACAGTTAAGTGTAAGTAGGGATGGCATGATCCGATATTGATATCGGATATCGGTCCGATTCTGACCCAAATAGCTGTATCGGTTATCGGTGACAACGGGCTGATCTGTGGGCCGATCTGTTCACTTCAATAATGCACATGCATTCGGTAGACCGTAACATTTTGCTAGGAGAGCTAAAGCAGCATTTTTAGCAAGCAAGTTAAATGAAGAAGCAAAATATGTATAATTCTCAGTATGGATATCATGGCAGAGGCTGCATTAACTGACAGGAGCAAGAGAAAAAGAGAGTGACGGAGCAACCAGACAAGAGCAACTATCGGACTGGCTTTTACTTGTTGCCGTGAGCTGAAAGCTAAGAGGACACAGGACAGATGGCGAGCTGGCCTTCTTTCTGTTTGAATAGTAAGTAATAACTTATTAGCTGGCTTGTTGTGTCTTGTGCCTGTGTTAGCAAAGTTGTCGACTCGAGCAAAAGAGGTTTCACAGCTACAAATCTTGAGTTGATGTTAGCAAACGTAACATTACAAGATAACACAACGTAACATTACTGTAAGTGCTCCTTCGTTGGTTGCTGTCTAGCTTTGTTGGCCACCCACATTTCAAGCAATATTTTCCTGCTGATGGAGAGCAGCGGGACAGTGAGCAACGCAGCAGTGTTTCCCACAGAACCATCGTGTCCACGTCTTGTAACTTAAGAGGTAGCATCTCTCTCTGTCTTTCTCTGCAAAATGTTAAACTGGGTCGCCAAATATACCTGGGTGGCCGGTCCAAGTAAAGTCTATGTGTGGGAAACACTGCACAGCTTGTTCATTTTACACTGGTATCGGATTGTATGGGCCAATACCCAAAGCCCAGGAATCGGTATTGGACATGAAAAAGTGGTATCGAAACATCTCTAACTGAAAGTAAAGACTCTGGGGGGGGCGGGATCCTCATCCTCTCTGTTGCTATGACATGGTGCAATTTAGGTTAAAGGAAAAGTTTCATATGTATGAAATAATGATGAGAAGATTGATACCACTCACAGCTTATAAGCATGAGAGCATCAGGCGGTGATTTTAGAAAGGGAAGTTAAAGCACTGGATTGTATTTTCACCTGAATGTTCCCATGTGACGCAGAAAGGTATGTTGAAAATTTTACTTTTTATATTTTTAACGAAGATCAGGTAAGTGTGATGGAAAAGGAAAATGAGTCCCTCAACATCCTGCACAAGATGACCAATTATTTGTCCAAGCCAGGGATCTATATTTCGTATGAAAAGCTAATCTTACTTACATACAATTCCATCATTATAAAAAACATGTCGCCTGCGAAGCTAAAACTTCTTATTCTACAAAACCTAAAATACAAGTCTGTTTAGGCAGATTTATTTTCAGACAATAAAGCAAATTATCCTTCTAATTGCAGGGGTAACAATGGGTGTATACCGTCTCCAGGGAGAGTAAGCACTAAATAATAAACACCAGCTGTTCCGCTTAAGAAGAGAAAGAAACAAGAAACCAAAACCTCATCATTTCTGGTTTACAATGTAAAACAATATGTTTTAAAAACAAGTTTGTGTTGTTCTTTCAACTAGATCAAATACTGAATGCTGATACATTGACAGGGGGTCAGTGGGGTCCACGACGACATTTTGCTTTCTCAGCAGACAAGGTGAAATGTTACAGCAGGAAATACACATAAAGCACTGGTTTAATAAATAACATTAATGATGGCTGTATTCCAAATAGGTAAACCAGTTCTAGGTTGTACATGCTAGAATAGAGAAAAATAATACAACTATTTGCCTAGAAGGAACAATGGGCATTACTCCTGTTTGTGTTGTGCAGACGTATTGCAAACGGAAGAGAATCTTGTTTACATAAATATATAAATTGACTAAATATAAAAATATAGAACAACAACGATTAACAATAAACAACAAAAATGTGCAATGTGCCAGGTTTGTGCATGATATGAAATGAAGTAAAATGTAGGAGTTGTAGCAGAAGTAGTTTCACTTGTGCTTTCCTATGGTGAGTCAAAATGTCAGCTGTGAAAATGGTTTTCTTCTTCAATAAAAGGCTTTATATCCCCACTTTTGTCCTAAAAAGCACTTTTTTTGGAAAGAAACAAAAGACTAAAAGCTAGAAATTGCTTCTTGATAAACATTTGACAAAGAGAGTTTTCTATTTTCACAAGACTGAATAGTGAAAATAAGATGTTGACTCACTTCTGTTTGTCCTGGATCAACAAAACAACATGTGAAATCTGATCCCACTCAGGAAACGGGATCTGATCCAAGAACCCGAAACTAATTCTTACCAGACTCTGCAGACTACAGACAGATTGTGGTTTCTCTAACCCTTTAGCCTTCTTGGTTCAAAGTACATTTTGATGATTAAAATATTCTTCTCCCAATCCTTTGTTACACGGTATTGAAGCTCCAACAGCTTTCTCTGTGGCTCCCTAACACCGGGAGCCACCAGTCATGCAGGTTTAACAGAGGTCTTATTTAAACTTCATTTTTACTTTAAGTTTGAGACCAAATGTATGGACCTGGCCAAGGATTTCCCACATTACCTTTCACTCTCCAGTGCTGCTATGTTGGCCTTTCCATTGTACCCAGCAGAGGGAAAGACCAGGGAGACGCCATGCACGGCCATACAGAGCCCGCCGCCCACAGAGCCAAAGCAGTGGTACAGAGGCACGGGTAGACAGACACGAGTGTGAGGCTGTGGGACAAAATCAGAAGACAAAAACATCACAATTATCAACCGTTGGATTTAACTAATACACTTGTGTCTGAAAGGGACCAGCTGTCTGCAGCCGGGTGGAAAGTCTTCACAGGGGAGAGGAGGGTTGTAATAATACAGATGTATTTAATTGATAAGGCTTGAGTTATTCTATGTTTTTCTTATTATCAATAAATCCTATTCAAACGCTAAAAACAACAGGGTGTTACTCCATCTTTCAGTACTCTCTCAGACACAAGCCCAGTGATTCCTACTAAAGACATACATCTTTATAAATGGGTAACACTTTGTACATTTTCAGAAAGGCCTCAGTAATTTCCTGCTACAGCAGATTTGATGATTTTCAATCGTTTTCAGACAACATTAGAGCTCAGAGGAATAAGATTGATCAGACTATGATGCACACACAATACTTAGTTAATAGTAGAAACCTTCACTCAACCATCATTTAATGTAGAACTTCATCTGTGCTCATAGTAAACCACACCACAAACTCACTTGACAACTTGCCAACTCTCTAAACAAATTTTGTAGTTTAAAAACACACTCACTGGTCAGAAGAGGTATATAAAACTGTTAGATGATGCACGAGGCTAAAGGAACGTGTCAGTAAAGACTCACCCTCCAGGTGTATCCCACTCTTTTGCCGACAAAGTAGGCATTGTTGATCATGTTGTGATGAGACAAGGTGGCCCCCTTTGGAGCCCCAGTTGTGCCCTGGTAACAGATATTAGAAATAAATTACTGTATATTTAGAAAGCCATTAAAAGGATTTGATACAGTATGTCAATGTTTCTCTGAAAGGCTTCTTTTAGTGCTCTCTAAACATGGTGAAGCAAACAGAAAAAAAGAGAATAACTTTGTGAATGTTAGCTGCCATTCAAGATAAGATCATCTTAACAAAACTTGTGTGTTTAGTAAATGTTTAAACAGGAAAAGTAAACATCATTTTAAGATCTGTATCCAGAAGGACTTTTTTTTTTGATTTATTGAAACTTGGGCGGCAAGCAACGATTATTTTCATAATAGACTCAAATAATTATTTAATGTACAAAAAGCCCAAGATGATGTATTTAAAGTTATTCAGACTTCAAGATGTAAAACAGAGAAAAGTAGCAAATAATCACAACATACAAACAGGAACTAGTGAATGTTTAATATTTATGTTTGAACAATTAATTGATTATCAAAATAATTGCTGATTAATTTTCTGTGGGTAAAATCAACTAATCGTTTCAGCCCTACTAGCAATTATTAACTTTTTGGATGTATCTAATGTGCCTTATTATAGGATAATTTTGGTATTTCTAAACCTGGGCCCTATTTTCACATATTTGGGTCTCGAAATGACTACAAAACATTTCGGAAACTGTGCAGTAGATGTTTCAGCCGGCAGCAGCGAACCGGCTATGCCCATTAAAATTACATCAGCAAAAAGTGCAGGCTCAGACTGTTATATCTGACAATATCATGGAAAGCATCCCTATGAGTGACTCCGGTGACACGCTTTGTTT